GTATCCTTTCCCGTGACACAGGTGTTCGTAGCGAATTCCCGTATGTTTATCGCATCGTGAAAGGCGAATTTGCGGTGTCCGCGATCCGGAGTTTCAGTTCCCGCGTCACGTGGTTTGTAGAGGGTGTCCCGATTTTTGTCATTAATTTTTCTAAAGCTTTGGTGCGGCATACCCCAAGATAGCCCACCTCATGTTTTTCACCATTTATCTCTTAATTTTGGGTGGGCGTTCTTCCGGAACTTTACGTACGATTCTTACTTCCAGCGGTGTCGAGAGTAACCCGGCATCGACAACGCTGCACGCGAGTGATTTCCATGCAGACGGCTTCTTTTCGGCCGGGCGCTTTTGCCAAGCACTGAGAAGCCGTCTTTCACACGTTGGTGTTGTTGTTGTTGTTGTTGTTTTTTACCAGTGGTGTCAAGCCTTTCTGTCTAAATAAATTAGTTCAATCGGATGTATTAAGAAAATCGAATATGTGCAGACATGAGACCTAGCACAGTGTATAGTTTCTTTTAATTCACAAATGCGAATGCGAGCGAATGTTTCCCATATAATCAAAAGTAACTGTTTTGCATTTGTTATGAAGGCAGAGCAGGACGCTTTCAAAAAACACGCAGGCTGTGTTCCAAATCTTTCCCAAATGGATCCGAGTTACTCCGGCGGGTCGTGTCACGTGACAACACAGGTTGAAAAGCGGTAGACGCGGGTAGATCTTGCAACGCCAAGGGTACAAAACCCTTACCCTGGAGTAAGACCGAGTAAATTTTGAACAAGTGATTCATTGCGCTGACTCAATTTCCCCTCTTCTTTAAGATCACAAACGCGTGATCATAAATATAAGTTGCGCTTCTTATTGCGACGTTATCGCTCGGCCACTACCACTTGAGCAAATTTGCCCTGTCATAAATAACTGGCCTCTCAAACCTCGTGTTCCTTAGAGTCATCTACACACTCAATGTGCTCCAGTGCTATCGCTGTTTCCTTTCCTTACACGTATCCGGTACGCCGATGGTGCAAATAGTCGAAACATACTATTGAAATCAAGTGTAGAAGTTGTTCACCTATTTATGACTTTCAGTTAGGGAGTAAAAATAAGTATCAGACGACACTTCACAAAGCAAGGCAAAAAAGCGCACGTCAAAACGCGACGAAAAACACGAATACAACGCCTTCGCCGGGGCGCGAAGTGGATAGAAAGCAGCAATGTTTGAAGTCACGTTATGGCGGCCGCGGCACGTGATTCCAAGATGGCAGCGTCCATGCGACGGAGGGTGAAGAGGCCTATAGGAAAGAGCGCTGATAAGTCGTCGCTATCGATTATACCTCCGCGATTTCAATCTCAGCGGGATCGCACACGTGACTAGGTGTATATCTTCTTGGTGGATTCCCTGGACACCGTACACGTACAAAGAAAAAAAAAAGAAAAAGACGTGTGTTAAGACTTTTTTTTTTTTTTTTTTAACGAAATGAAAGACTCAGGGGGAATTGGGTGCAATTTTAATTTCGAGTTAGCGACAGGACGACCTCCGAGACGGCTCTTGAGGTGACCTGGGAATTCCTGATTTTATTTCCTAGCGCTTCGAGATAAAATAAACCGGGGAACACACGTACACTACCTTACAGCGTTTTGGAAGATGAAAAACAAAAAGGACGGAAGACCACAACCCTAGGGAAATCGAATCGGGGCGCGTTAGTTTTGTCTTTATCGTACACCGGAAAGTCTGAAAAAAAAAACTTTTTGCCGAAGTCTTCGTTCAGATTGTCGTTGAAATGCGATAGTATTTTGCGCCGTCTTGTACTGCGTAAAGGTTCCTTTATTAAGCTGCCAAGGAGCCGCTGTGGAAACCTTATGTATATATATATATATGTATAAAGAAAAAGAAAGAAAGAAAAAAAGAAAAACGTAGCGCAGGATGCCGAAAAGTATAAACGGCAGAAAAACCTGCTTAAGACGGTTGTTTGGAGTTTTATAACATACTATTCGTAAAGTCAGTCGACGTTTCGGCCTGAGACAGACCTTTCTCGTCTGTCTCAGGCCTAAACGTCGACTGACTTTACGATTAATATTTCATACAACTCCGAACCACCGTCCCAAGTACGTTTTTCTGCCCTTTTTATATATATATATATATATATATATAAAGTCGCACTTCGAAACGTTGTTAGAGTTTTAAAGCATTTAGTGAGTCTACGTTTCGGCCTGACACAGGCCTTCTCAGGCCGAAACGTCGACTCACTAAATGCTTTAAAACTCCAACAACGTATCGAAGTGCGACTTTATTACTTTATAGTCTTCGGCATCCTACGCTATATTTTCTTTATCTATATATATATATATATATATATATATATATATATATATATATATATATATATATATATATATATAACCAATTCACGTGATGTTCTCATCCAACTGTACGACGTTCAGAAACTACAATTTCATATCACATTTGTTGGACGCATTACCCCCTCTATGCATAATTGAATACGGTATACATAACTTCCATTGACTTCACATCAGCCGCCATTGCTCCGGACCATATTCCTAGCTGTGCCCGTACCTCCTGCAGCATGCATCTGGCACCATCGAATTTCTTCTTCTCGGTATACAACAAATGCCTCCGCCTGCTTCGTTGGTTACAAATCAAGCCATGGACGAGGGAGTGCAAACTGTTCGCTCATAAATGATATCGCATTAAGTTAATCGTAGCATTACCTTAATTTCTCAGCATTTACATAACCTTAAGCATAAGCAAATTCTGTCACATTTACTTACTCCGAGTTGTCCCGTTTTGACGCTTGCTGCCAAACGAACCGACAAAGGAGACACAACTGGGAAAGAATTCTGCAAGGACAGAATGCATTTCATTCATCATTTTTGAACTGCAACCACCCACCTCCATCTACCTTCTTTCTTTTTTCCTCGTATTGCATAAATCGACGTATGTATGTCTGAATCCATTAGCCGTTTGCAAGGCATCACAAACCTGCGGTTATCGGCCTCCGGCCTTCACTGGTAACCTAACCCTCCAGTGTTGAATAAATAGCGTTAATCCAAACACCAATACGAATACAAAACCAAAATCACACTGTTGACGTGGAAGATTCGTTGCTTTGAAGTCATAAAAAACCCAGAGAGGCTTAGAGATGTTTTACTTGGTGCGAGTGTCTTCTATGACGGTTTGGCAGTCGTTCAACAGACCAGCCAACATCCCGCCGCGTGATGCCAAGTCGTCACGCGGTTGTGCACAGCGCTTTCGAGTCAGTCAAGAGCGGAAGAGTCATTACTGTGACGCCGACAGGAACGCACAATCCTAGAAATGACAAAAAAAAGGTCACCAGCTAGAACCCTATAGACCCTTCCGAGTTGTTCCATGCACTTCAAACGTCCTTGCGACAAACACTATAAGAAAAGAAACTTTGTACTTCTTCGCCGTTGCAGACATTCCGAAGTTCCTTCCACGAATCGGTACAAGACGTACAGAAGAAAAAAGAAAACGGCTTCACTGGACCGCACACGGATTAGTTTTGGTGTCGCAATGCGAACGGATGTCATTTAAGGGGCAGAGAATCTCGGGGGCGAGCTTAAGGAATGCGTATTGCGTCATGTTGCAGCGACGAATCGCCGCCGTTGCCTCAGCATACTACCGGAATTGCAGACGCTGCTCTACCGACAAGTGAAAATAAAAGACATCTGTGACAAGAAGTTGGAATCTAATCTCCGCAGATTACACGAACCAACGTAGCGGGGTCCATCGATGGGAAATTGTTCTGTCGCGAAGTATTGTGCAAGCTTCTGCCTCCGCTATAGTAACATGCGATGGTTACGCTTGCCGTCCGATTACTCGAAATCCAATAGATTCGGGTCCTCGGCTTACACAATTGACGCTTCACCGCTCGTGAGCACGTGAAGATAATCCACTTTCGTTAAGACATTGTGATTTTTTAAAGGCACTTGATCGAAGCTTTTGGACAATACAGCGGAGATACGTAGCACGAACACGACATATGGTGTGCTTTTGAAATTGTTGAGACTTCTGTGCCGTGCCGTCCCTCGTTTTATAATCTCGGGGTATTCGTCTATCATCTTCGACCATCACCCGCTTGTTTACAAATTTCTCTTCAAAGGGTGCAATTGTATTTTGACTTGCATTTTACTTCGAAGGGGTATTGGTGATCACTAAAATGTACCGCTCATAGCTATAGCTTTGAGCGGTACATAATAGACTATCCTGATAGACTATCCTGAGAAGTAAGTGGAGCAACCGTGAGATACCTGCGCCGATGCTCTTACCGCGTTGTTGCCACAGTAGTGAGGGCAGCTTCTTGTGCAGCTATATACGACTGATTGTAGTCATCCGGTGCCGATATACCGTGACCTCTAAACCCGCTTTCTGAAGGTTCCTATGCTACATACATAGAAAAGTTCTAGGCAGTGCCGCTACATTCACGAGAGCGAGAATGTTCCCAATTTCGTACACTTATTGCCGCACATGATGCTAGGACTTGACGACGCGGTAACGATGGATTTTGTAAACTTCGTGTAGCCGGCGCCAGGGACTTTGACTTTGGAGAAGGGCCAATCGAGCACTTCCCATTACATGAGGAAATCTATTGAGAATCTTTTCATTGTCATTAAATCTGGGTACGCTCTTGCTACGTAAATATATTCTCCCAAACCATTTGACAAGTCTTCTCTTCCGGTCTCTGCACCACGTATCTCCTCTGTTAAACCAACATCACCTAGAAAAGGCCTGCGCCGACGGCTCTCCTTCAGCTTCGGCGTGTTTGCCGCTTGGGGGCGCGCCGGGGGTCCACTAACGATGACGTCATGCGCAGGCCTTGTCTACTAGGCAGTATTGGTTAAGCCCCCTTGTGTTGCGTAATTCATTCTATTGAAAACCCTGTCCACCAAGTTTCCTGTCCACCAAGTTCCGACGCTCCTTCTTTGTTGCTGCAGGTAAACGGTGCTTCACCAAGCGGTTACCCTCATCACAATGCAAGCGAACGCAACAAAGCCCAGAAACCACGTCATCAACTCGTCTTCTCGCTCCGGGACTCCCACCAGTGCTGCAAGATGGCGAACACTATCCGTACCTTGCCGCGTCTACCTGTACGGCCTCCACGGCTTCTTCCTCGAGGTCATGTTCACTGCCGCCTGGGAACTGGTCGTCTCTGGAAGCCTGAAGCTACACGGATGCACGAGTGTATGGTGCCTCTTCATCTACTCCTTCTCCTGCCTGGTCATGGAGAAAATTCACGACGGCTTAGAGCCCATAGGCCTGCCCTTGCACCTTAGGGCCCTCGCTCAGACCTTCTGGATCTACGTGTGGGAGTTCAGCACGGGATGGTTTCTGAGGAAGCTGAACGGATGTCCCTGGGACTACGCCGATTTCACTTACAACTTCTGCGGGCTCGTCACCCTCGAGTACGCGCCTCTCTGGTACGTGTGCGGATTCCTCTTCGAGTACGTGTTTCTACCGAATGTTCGTCGGCTACGTTGGCACGAAGGTGGAAACGCTGAGGGTCAGCAACCGTTAGATCTCCCCGGCATCTCCAGCAATGGTTACGTGGTGCACGGCAGGAAGAGGAAGTAAGCGTTCAATGGGAAAGTCGCTGACTGTTGGGACACCGTGTCTGCGGGTTTACAGCATGCAGTGTGTGGTTTCGTTATGCCTGTTTACAGTGGTGACTTTCGAAGTGCCGAGCGGTTGCTTTAGGTGATATGTGTCGATGATCGCTGTGACTTACAGTGTACGACAGAGCCCGTTTTCTGTTAGGGATGTCTGTTTGACGAAAGAATCGACGAACTGGCGGGAGAGAGCGCCTTCTATTGCTCAAGGTGCGGAGTCAGATCGTAAGGCTACCCGATCTCAAATGTGTTCAAGTTTGCACTGTTCACACTGCGAAAGTGCGTTTCACTTTGAAGAGGGAATGGCATCGGGAACGAAGGGTGTCAGGGTAGGAGCCGAAATAATGTTACCAAAATAGTTTAGTACGATCTCAGCCATTGTTGATGCCACGTTTGCTTTCCCCTTGGAATCAGATAGACTGATCGTCTGTGATTAATTGATTGCCATGATGCTGAACGCTGGTGACCATAGAGTATTATATGTGAAACGTTCCTGGTTACAAGATTCACAAATACACCTTGGGACATGTGTAAATGATGGAAGAGCATCATCTCCTTGGAGGAAACACTGCCCTCCTCGACTGTTGCGTTCCCCTAGCTTCTATTTAAACAAGCACGAACTTACGATGATCTCCGAGGCTTCTAGGTGTGCCCTAGACTATGAATCCTAGGCAATGTATCGTAGGCCTTGCACCGAAAATCCATATTGAACAAGATAGCAGTTAGAAAAAACGTAGCATACCTAGTTTTTGATGACCTTACTAGATTTCTCTGAGAGGTGACGAGGTTTTTCGGGGTTTGTTTTTTGCATTCGGTAAGTTTTTTGTGTATTCAACTGACATATTCACGATCAAACTAGAACTTCTTGTACATTCCTAAACACGGGCCATCATTTTGCCCTTTTCCGACATTTTAACCACGAATACTCAAACCTGATAAACGACTCAAGTTCACCTCATAGTTTTAGGTAACGTCTGCCGATGTTGGCAGCGAAAAGGTTGCTGACACCTAAAAAACAGCAAAAAATGTGAAGTCGGTTGCTAGCAGACTGGAAAGAGCAAGGAACAATAAAATTATGAGCAGAAAGCTCCAGAAACATACGTAACAAGGCCTGAACTTTGAGTAACCGGAACCCGTCGTTCTCAAAATTGATCCTTATTTGCGTAACGTACAACCGTGCTCAGAGTTTGCCTCCAAAAGTGATGTGTTCTCGTGGTGAAACCAGGCGAGCGTACAATGCTCTGTAACGTGTCAGGTAAGTTTAATGACTCAAAATAAACCATCTGCGCAACATGCTTAAGTGCAGGGTCCTATAGGGGGTATTCACTGGATGCCATATCTGAGGGCGATGTTTAGAGCGCATGCTCAGAACGAGCTCCCATTAATAGGTTGCCAACACTACCGGTGTTGGCAACCTATTAATGGGAGCTCGTTTCGAAGGGCACGTTGCAGAAGATCTGAGAAGCTCGCAGTCAGAACGCGTTCAGCAATCGTGCACACAGCAATGGCCGCCAGCGAATACTTCCTATTGAACGAGCATATTGTTTTTTTATGATCGCTGGGGATGCTCAAGACTGAAAAGAGATCGCTGACAAGCTGCAACCGACATGTTTGTGAACCCAGCTCAGTTGATATCCGCCTAAGAAGCGTGACTTGGAATAAACCCCAAACATCCTACAATAACCCTAGACGAGAAGAACGAAAAGCTCAGAAACCGCAGACTTTCTTTTAGAAACGTAGTTTACAAATGTCTTAATTTTAAACGACAGAGTATACAAGTAATTTTAAATTAACACTATGTCTCTACTCGATCACTGTACCAAGCATCTCGATGTCTCCTTGGAAGAACTACACTATAACCTTCTGCTAGACTAATCAACTCTAATACGTTTTTCGGTGTTCAAAGAAAGGACAATGTCGATAACCCGCAGAGTGCATTTAGATCAACGAGAGTACCCTGAGCAGCTGTTGATGTGGACTACGCGAAAAGCTTCTGAAGCTATCCTCGTTATCAAGACGTAGAAATATGACCTATGACCTTGTTTCTGAGAGTGTCATCTAGGTTACCGTCGTTGAGCAGCAGTACGAGGTTAGATCTCTGGCGCTTAAATAATTGTAATCTTGTTAAATACGAGTGATTCGAGGGCATTACATCATCCTTCTATGTCGGGACGGTGGAAGCAAATATCTTTATTGTCAAGTCCATGAGCCACGAACAAGAGAGCTGAGTGTCTCGACATGGTACCAACATCAGCGAAAGTTGCGAATATCAGGAGTTTCGCTTCGTAGCTGTAATTGACTACTAATCCTTTATAAAAAGATACTGTATTTTTCAGACTATAGTCGGAATTCGTTGCGTAGTCCGCAAGGTCCAATTTCGAATGAAAAATATTTTTTTCTTAGATTGTCCGGACCCGATATAATGGAACTACAATATTGTTCAAAACAAGCGTGTGTTTTTTTTTTCTAGTCTTTTAGCTTGAAAAAGTGTCAGAGAGGACCAAGTTTTTTGGTGCAACAGACTGTAATAAAAGAGTCTCCTTCAAAGGAGCAAGTTTTTTGGTGCAACAGACTGTAATAAAAGAGTCTCCTTCCTGTCCATCATGTTCGTTCACATTGAATGAGGCAGAGCGCAAGTTCATGCAACGGAACTCGGGAATCCCGGGCTAAATCCACAGGTCTGCCCCTTTCGATATGGATAAGCACCGTACCGGCGTGCGGTTCCGTATCACTGCATGCGTGACGCACCCCCGGGCTCGCATGGTCAAGCTGCACCGGCTAAATTTCTCAGTGTTACAGTGTCAACCTTCTCTTGCAGACTAAACTCACGTTGTCTATAGCCGACGACTAACTAATTTCTTAACGAGAACGAGAATGTCTTTCTTGCACGCAGTCCTAAATAAAAAAAATAAAAAATGTATTCCCTTTCTTACACCATCCATACTATATACCGTTTTTTTTGTTTTTTTTTACTTAACATATTTGTTTAAAAAATCCGTGAAAGTTACACTTACGCCGTTTGTGCAGGTGAGTTATACGTCCAAGCGGACAGAGTATAAGGGGCTAATCGTAACGACCAGTCGGCTAATTAATTAAAATTCGTTAATTAACTTTTGAATTAATTAATATAGAGACAAGTTTCCAATTAGAAACTTGCGAAACGTCATTCAAAACAACTAAATCAACACTTTTTAGAAGGACATAAAGCAGGAGCAGCATTTTACAGTGTTCTAAAAAAGCGCTCAATTTGGACGTGTTTCTAGGTTTCGCTTTGTTATCGGATTGCATCTTTGTGCCCGCGGTCCTGCCCCCCGGTGGTCGCGGCGCGAGGCCACACCCTCGCCTCCCTCGTAGCATGTAGGGAAGTTGGGCGCACGTGTGTTGAGCGTCTCGAACAGTGGGGAGCAGGACCGCGGCCGCAGAGATGCGCCCCGGTAAGAAATCGAAGCCCAGAAAGGCGTTCAAATTGAGCGTTTTTACGGAAAACCGTGATAGGTTCTGGGCAGGGTTCCAGAGAGCGCAACCGTCGGTTGTTCATCAGCGCCACCATGGCCGAATGAGGCAATACTGGGACGGCTAAAATTGGCAGCGCCGCGGGCATAGCCTTGCGAGATTACGTTATTGCCAACTCCGAGCGTTATGTTCTCGCGCGTTACACTACTGACTGTTTTGAGAATCTACCAAACGTTAAATATATAAATGTGCATCCATGTGTGGTTGTGTCGTCCTAGCATTAGAGAGTTTTAGTAGGTTCCTTTCTCGATAGGTAGGGCCAACCCGGAACGGGAGCTAGCAGAAGAAAATTGGACATCATAATATTAAGGCCAAATATAAGTGAAAGCAAATAAACAAGGACAGTATTTTTTTTTACGTTGTTTCCGCGCGTTTCAAGATAACAAAAGCGAAGATTTCCCCGTCGAGCTTCCCTCCTCTACAAAAGCGCACCGCAAAAGCGAAACTAAAAACGCCCCCCTCTACTTACCCACGGTAACCCACCACGGTAACCCACCCTTACCGTGGGTAAGGACGGTAACCCACCCTTTTTTCCCAAGTGAACTCTTCCCGCAAGAATAGCTGACCTCGTCTTGGTGATCAGCTAGTTTCCAGTCCCCTCATCGCTGTGTTGAAGACGACTGTTGTGCCCGAGGTATGTGTCTTTCGTGCAAGCTGTCCGTAGCTTGGACGGTGTCGTACGCAGTTGCTCGGCTCAAGCTGATGCTCGTTCTCGTCCATTGAATGTGCTGTTCACTTTTACATAGCTCAGAAATAAACGCCGCATGGATAACCTTTTCTCGTGGGGTAAGTACTTTTTTTTTATTATTATTTCTTGGGGAGACTTTTTTTTCGCGGAAGGGATGATGTTAGGACCGCATAGACACGGGTCGAAATAGAGCAACCATCTTAGGCAGCTACGCGATCATGCTAAAGGCGCAAACGACAGTTCGTTCTGCAATCGGCGAAGCGGAGAAAACGCTCACTTCGGTTTACAGTAACTACGATCAAACGTCCAGAAAACGTCGTTCGATCAAGATGTGTCCGCGGGGCAGAGAGCAATGAGAGTGTCGAAAGACTGATCTGATTCTTATTTGTTTGTTTGTTTTATTTCGGACACAGGGTCAAGAGGAGAAAGGGCAAAAGGCAGATCAGCTCTGCCTGATGAGGCCCAGTCCCCATAGTACACTTCATCAGCAGTCAATGGAAAAAGCAAATACAAAACATCGGGAAAAGAAACAAAAACATCGGCAAGAAACAGCAGCGCAATATCATTGATACCATTACCTCCACAAGGATGGAAATTACAGGTCATATTTTATACAGTAGCTAAAATAGACCCGTTCATAATACTACGCACAGTGTATGTAAAGACGAATTGACGTTCAAGTTTATTCCGAAAAACATGACAGAAGATACATTTTTAAATCGTATCTGGAGCTGCAACGTGAAGCACTATTTAGTATTATTCCC